TTTAATGTTTTACTTTTTACTCTTAATCCTATTTTCATCAAGAATAAACGTAAACTATTGGCTAGGAAAATGGAAAGATAACAAATTTTCTCTTATAAATAATATATGAAATTATATTTTCATGTCTTTTAGTAATTAAAATGTGAAAATTGCGCATTACTAGTTTTATTGCTACACTAAATCTTTTGAAATCTTTCGTTTCAATTTTTCGTCATGAACAGACGTGATCTAACTAAAGAAATATTATCACTTGACTCAGTCTCATGTCATGGACTACTCATTCTATTCATACACTTATTGAGGAGATGTCATGAAAGATTTCCTCCTTCGATTCACAGAAAAGTCATGTCGCAAGTTTTATTGTCCAAGATGACTATACATAAATAAATAATTTGACATGTAGATGAGTCTTGAGAAAAATTACATTTCATTGAAAAATAGTTTTGGAAAACATAGAAGAATTATTTGATTAAATTAAAAGAGATTTATTTTGTTTTACTGTTGAAACATGTACAGGTCAACTTAACCTTAAGCAACTTAATGTATACCAGATGTGTTCACATGTTATTGAACAGATATTAAAAATGCACGGAGATTTGATTTTAGAATCAATTTCGTCCCTCTCCACCACTTTGAAAATCTTCTCCACCTCGTATACGTTTTTTTTTCATTTCGTCACTTTTCAAAAATCGCTTCGGGTAGCAGTATTTTTCCTCTTCAGTGTCAGTATTCTTAAACTTTTTCCATCTCACAGAACAACATACTTTATCTAGAACAGTTATAGTAATATACACATAAAAATAAAGCAAAAATTTCATACTTGTTTTTCTGTAGAACAGACGATAATAATGTTATCGACTGTTTATGGGTTTAGATTAGATCGTTGTTGAATAATGGTTATGTTTGCAGCTGGAAAAAATTTGACTTATTCAGTTTTTAAATTATACATATTGACTCGTCTTGTAAACGAAAAAAAGTTTTCTACTCGGCAGGATTTTCTCTCGAGTTTTCCGTTTCCCGTGCTTTTTTGAATAGGCAGCCAAAATTTCAAGTCTAGACTTTTCTTCGTTCTGGCGAAAGCAGAAAATATAAATATAAATGTATACTTTTGTTCTGTTTTATACTACTGTTTCATTGTTTCTAATTTTAAGCATGAATAAATTTCTTCAAAATGATCGTTGTTAAAGGCATACTAACAAGTCAATATCGATTTTTGACAAAAAAAAAAATTGAATCAAAACGATATAATTACCGTGCAATCATTCCATATATTTTGGAAATATCTCTTTTATTCTGTACTAACTACGCAATTCCACAGTTCTATCTATCTGTATTTTCTAAATAGTATTATATTACTCAATAACAAAAGCAATTTTCTTCTTCTTTTCTTTTCTTCATTATATACTCTAAAATATTACATTCCTTCATTTAGAACGGTAATAGGTGAACTCAAAGATAAGCACCAATAAAAAAAAAGTATAATTAGACATGTTTTTGCAACTAGTTGAGTAGAAATTTGACTAATTTCAGTACAATAATAACTAATGTATTTTACCTATTATAATCTGAATAATGATATTTTCTTTTATGAGTAGTCGTCACTCACAATCTTCTATATCAAACTCTCATATTAGATATATAAAATGTAGGTGTAGTAAATTGAAGAATTTTATGTGAAAATAGGATAGAAGAAGTTATTACCTGTATTATATATCGTTGAGTGCTAAGAAAGTTTAATATTTCACTGATAAAATTTATAAAAGTATGATATACTATAATTCTCTATGTAACTATAGTAATATTTTTTGTTAAATATTAGATAATAAAATTTAATGCTTGAATCTTACTTTTAAATGTGTTTAGTATAATTTAATAAAGAAAATAGTACTAAAAAAACATGAAGTACTCTTGGATCTTTCTAATTTATAAACGTATATTTTCTTACTCGAATTCTGTTAATAAATTGATTATTTTGTTCGAAACGGATGTAATAAAGCTTTATTTTGTTTTATTTGTCTAGTGTCCTCTTGATTCGCCCAGGCTTTAAAAATTTATTAAATAAACTTAAACAATCTCAAGTACACAAAAAAAAAACGAGAACTGCCTGGTTGTTACCAGCTTAAGTGGTTGTAATTATGGTTCGATTCCCACATAACTTTCTAACTAAGGTTTTTAACTAATAGAGCGAGCACCAACTTTATTTTTGCAGCAGACAAATGTATTGCTTGGAAGCGTTTTTCTTTAATGTTTTCTGTGAAGCTTTGTATGTCCGAGTTAAACGTAAAAACCAACAACAATATATGCGAGAAGAAGATCGGCCGAAACAGTACGATATACCATGATTGAGTTAGATGGATGGTACAGACACAGGATTTAAAAAATGCTTTGTGGGCTTTGTATTCTGTCCAGTTACAAGTAAGCTACAATTTAGAATACTTTAGAATGACTAAAAAAGGCACATAGTACCCAATGTAAATCTACGGTACGATATTTAGTATAGTACTTACTTCGATACTTCGTTTTTATGGAACGTAGTATGCCACTGTTGAGTTATAAGAGCTATCAGTTTACTCAAGAACTTGAACATAAAACGCTATCATTATAAAAATTCGTATAAGTTCAGCAGCATTCTATTCACAAGAAAAATCAAATATTCGCCCAGAAACAAGTCATATGCACACCGGTTTACTAAATAAATTTGATGGTAGTCTTATCGATCAAGATACATTCATAGTAGAAATTTCAACTCGAAATATTGAGTTTTCTCAAAGTTATCTCAGATATAAGGGTGAGACAGTATGTCTGAGAATTCGTATGGACTAGTTTACTGATATCTGTTTTTCTCAAATACTGTTAAGGCGTAAAATCAGGCTGTAGTGTTATAGTACAGGGTTTACTCTTTAATTTTGAGACCAAATTGAGCTTTGGGGAGCGTAAAATCTTGCTTGCACACACGCAAGTGTCATACAGTTTGTTGTCTGTATAGACAGACATATTTACCTAAAACTACCACTTCTTTGACTAATCTAACTGCCGCTGAGGACTTCGGAAACGTTTACTAAAATATCTTGAAAATGCGTTTTGAGAAATTCCAAAACTAGTGTAATCGACAGAGGAGACTTTAAATTACAATATTCTGTGCGTTCCTGTAAATTCTTAATAGTTTGCTTAAAGTCTGTCTAATCTAGCTTATGCGTACACATACAGTATACTGTGAGAAGCGTCTCTGTCGAGCTTATTATCTCTTAAAATAAAACAGATAAGAAAATTACTTTTTTACTGTTAGCTGGAAAGAAGTCTACTCTGCATTTCTGTCCACTTGAAAAACTTTTAACAATCTTAGATGAGTCTATAATCAGTCTTATTTTACACTCAATCGACGTTTGGAACAAAAACGAAGTTCGATAAGTGTTCGAACACTTTGTTTTCTCTATGGTTTTTGACCTTTTTAAAGCAGCAATGGATATTTCAAATATACCATTCGAAAGAGCAGTCTCAGCTTTCTAACGCAAAAGAATAATTAAAAAAAGCACTCTCTAAAGGGCACAAAATTGAAAATTACGGATACCACCATGAAATTCATTTAACGCGCTCTTTGACCGTTAACCTTGATCAAAACTCAATTCTAAATATACCGTTGGAAAGAGCGTGAAGAATTACATCAGAAATAATTATTCAACGAAAAAATAAACTATTTCTTCTGCTCATTTTAATTAATTTCCCGACTGCTCCAGTGTTTTGGGTGACATCTATTATATTTGGCATTTTTTTGCCTTAAATCTCTTCTCTAAAGTTTTTCTGACGTAACAGACTTAAAGAAGACAAAATTCTGCCCCAAAATGAGCTATTTTTCCAGCTGAGTACTTAAAGAACAGCTAAGTTACACACATCATCTTTATCTCGTTTCAAAGAATTTCGTTTATTCTGTAGATAGTAGAAGACAACCGTAGTGAAACTTCTTGTAGCCAAGATCTTAACTTCTATTCTTGAATTTTCCAGTAAGATCTTGATTCAAGATCTTGGTAAGAAAATGTAAGAATTCAAGAAATTTCTAGAAGTCAAGATCTTGAACATCTTGTAATTTCTTGACTTCTTCTACAAAGATATTGAAAATTCTTGAATCACCATTTTGTTTTATGCTCTTGTGTAAACATAAGTGCAAATGTTTTCATACTTAGAATAACTTCGAATCTTTTCCCTTTTGAACATAGTTGTTTAAGGAAGAGTCTATGATTCTATATGATCGTATATCTGGTGGCTATGCCTGTCATAAATGAAAACAAAATGTAAAAAAAATGTTTCATTTAAGATCTTGCAACATCCTGGATTACTCCACTCAAGATCTTGAAATTTCTGTCCGCAAGTTTTTGGGTGAAAGATTCAAGAATCCAGGACCTTGGCTTTCTGGTGTTTTTTCCCAGGTCTTGTAACATTTCTCAACCCAAGATCTTGGGTACAAGAAGTTTTATTAAGGAAAGCCTATTTCATTTTTTTGAGAGAAGTGACGAGGTCAAGATGTGATGGGTAACTCGGCTGTTCTTTAAGTATTCAACTCGAAAAATAGCTCAGTTTTGTGTAGAATTTTTTGAAAGTGTCCGAATACTTCTTGCACATATTGTAAGAGATAAATCAGGGATAAACGATTCGACCAATAGTTTGATAATGTCATTTTTTATTATAAAAATTTATCAATACACATAAAATCTATTCTAAATAGAGTTAATTTAAAATATATTGAATGTTGATAAATTTTTATTCGTTATTGTTTAGCTTATTCAATGAATTCGTCTGCAAATTTTATGCACGTTAATTCGTTGCATGATATCTATGTCACACTGAATAATATCCTTGAACCATTAATTATTATCACTGGCACGATCGGCAATCTCTTCAACGTCTATATTTTCACTCGAAAATCTCTTCGTTCATCCTGTTCCATGTACTTTCTCGCTAGTTCAATAAATAATTTTATAGTACTCTATTTTGGAGTTTTAACACGAATGTTAGCCGATGGTTTCTCTGTTGATCCCACACGTTATTCAACCGTCTTTTGTAAATTTCGAAACTATATTTCCTATGTCATATATCGAATTCCATCAGATTTTACGTTAATGGCTACTGTCGATCGCTACTGTTGTAGTTCACAAAGTACAAAACGTCGAAAATTTAGTACACTTCAAGTATCTTATTATGTCATTCCAATCATTATCGCTAGTGTTATGCTGATTAGTTCACATATTCTCATCTATTTCCAGATCGATCGAAGAATCAACATTTGTCGACCAAAAGAAGGACGTTATACCGAATTTTTCGGAGCTTTTAATCTCTTCATGTACATTCTTAGCCTTTATGTATTAGTTTTATTCGGATTTTTAACAATCGTTAATGTCAGAAAACAACAACGTCGTCGAATAATGCCGATCCGTTTGAGTATGGCTAGCACACATTATAAAAAACGTCAACGTGAAGCTCAATTATATATCATACTCTTTTTTCATGTTGCATCTTATTTATTTCTTGCTCTGCCCTTTGTTCTTTCGCTACTTTTCACAGCCGTTGTCAAAAAACCAACTTCGACATTCTTATTTATTCAAAATTTATCTCGTATACTATTTAATTCATGGTATAGTATTCAATTTTATATATTTACAATGAGTGCAAGACTTTATCGTTATGAATTTTTTTCTGCACTTAATTGTTTATCACAACGATTTATAGGGATAAAGTGCATCAGAACAAAAAATGATGAAAAATCGCACAATCGAAGTATGCGTGTGACCGTTCTAACAGCAGAATATTCGGCATAATCTATGAGTGTTACAAAATAGGACAGATTTGAAAATTTATTTCACACTAATGACAATTGGATTCAAGATATTATAAATATTGATGATAACCATAAAACACTCATGTGTTTATTCATTAGAATCTGAATAACTAGTGCATTCTAACATTGAACATACAACTGGTATGTTGTACATAGTATTTAGAATATTGTAAAATTCTTTTCACCTAAATAATAAAAATGTTTATGAATCGTCAAATGTTTACAAGATGGAACAAAATCAATTGAGATTATTTTTCAGATAATCTTAGTTTTTTCCTGAAATGAAAATTTGAAATGAGTGTGTGTTACAAATGTACAAAAGGACAAACTTTACACTTTCGAGAAAATATTTTTAGATGACAAATCTGTTTTATTAATGTAACACAGTTGTTTTTAGAGTTGATCATTGATTGAGATTACGAATTTAGTATTTGGTCTTACTGTTAGCATTTTCGTACCATCTTAAATTACTGCGCTCTTTAACGAAACTTTCAAAGTAAATATTTCAATATTCAAATCACACATTTATGAAACTTGTAAAAAGTTTCATAAAATTTTTCGTTTTTATGTAACTTCTGGGCCCAAAAAAGTTCAACATCCAATTTTCTGAGTTTTAAGTTTCATAAATGTGTGATTTATGTTGTTTCATGTGCAATTAATTACTTCCTTAATTAATTGTAGTATTAATATATCACATAGAGACATATAACACTATATAACTGGTATATGTCACGTAGAGACGTGTGTTGGTGGGGTTTTAATTGGAAATAATGATTTATTTAATTAAAAACAGTATCAATGTATCTCTAGATGCTATATGAGGCTCTTAGAGACACAGTCACTCAACTAAATAGAGGTATTAATATCTCACTAAGATAGGTATGAGTTACTCAGAGACATAGACTGAATCAAATAAAAATATGGAATTTTTGTTCAACATATGCTCAGCGTATATCACTATGAGACTTATACTAATATACTACTGTAACAATCCTCTTAAAGACATATGCAGTTACCTTAACACTTAAGGGCCGCATGGAAGTATTTCCCCCCCACCCCGCCGCTCAGAAGTGATGATTCTCGGACAAAAAATCCATTCTGAGATAAGCACATGGAAAGATAACCTGAAGTATCTACTTTCAGAATCTATATCGCTTTCAGTTACAGAAATGATTTTTCGCGGCTTTCGAGCAAGTTTTCTAGGAGCTTCGAAGAGGATATGTTCTCTATTCTCTATAAGAGGGAAATACTTCCGGGTCCTTTTTGGATCTTAATCGCTGGAAAACTCCTAAACCGTAAGACTTTGGAGACAAAAAAAATTTTTCATTCTCATAGCTCATTGTGCCTAACATTTATGGAAAGTTTCGTGAAGATCGGATGTACGGTGTCAGACATAATTTCGGAGAGGGGGAGGCCCTTAAAGAAAATCACAAAAGAAACAGTCAATGTCACATATTTGACTTTTGTAATTGCTGTTGAATTGAGTGTTATGTGTTTTTTCTGTTGGAAAAAAGAACGCGTGTTGCTCTAGCAGAAAAAGCTGTTATCTTTAACTTGTTAAAGTACTACGAAAAAAATGATTCTTCTGATTTTAACGGGCTTTTTTCCGAACTATGGATTTTACAGTTGACAGTCCTGTTTATATATACGACATTTGTTAGTACGAGAACTAACAAGCAAATAAGAGAATATCTGTTTTCGCACATGCGTACCTTTCTGTTCTCTTTCTTTTCTATCGACGCGCTGCGATGAAAAAATGTCCTCACACGGGATAATATCTTATGTCGAAAGAGATATCTCCTTATACACTACATTTCTATTTTCTTAATATTGTGTGCAGATCATTTCTAGTCGTTTTTATGGTTTATATCTGCTATTTTTTGCCTGTTTAAGTAAAATTTGAGAGAAACAAGTAATTACTGAATAAGCACATCGGAGTTTGTAATACTTTCCACTTTTATTCTCTTAACGTTGGAATTTTTTCCCCGATCATTATGCATGTGCAAAAAAGAATCTTCTCAGAAACTAATTGTAATATAAAGATTATGGCACGATGAGGGCGCTGGACAGTAGAAAAAAGCTCCAGTCCGAATGGTGTAGTCAAGTCTAGAAAATTGTCGCAGAAAACTATTAATGTACAACAGATTCCTCGTACGATGAATGCAGCGCTAGCCGATTCGATGCACTTCAGTTACATCCGATATCTGTTCCATAGAGTTGCCTGTTCTGATCCACATAAGACTAAAGCGTAGATGAAAATGCTAAAAAAAAACCAAAAATTCTATATGAAAAACAAGTTTTTGTTTTCGTTTTCTATCAGCTATATTTAGTAGACGAACAGACAATCAGAGTATAGATTCGTGGATTAGTGGACGAAAGAGACGATAAAAAAAACATAAATTTTCTTAGATTCGGTTACGATTTCCGCTCGAATCTTTTTTTTCAAAATTTTAAAGGCTTCTAACTTAACTCTCGGAAGTACGTCGGACTAAAAATCATAAACCTGTAGACAATCGACCATGCTCATTCCGAATATCGCATTCCCCTGAACTCAAATCACACTTGAAAATGTTGAAGTCCGATGATATATAGCAGAAAGATGCAGACACGTTTTGTTATTTAGGCAAACGAAACAGAACGAAAAAAAAAGAATAGCTCTTTTTATCCGTTCTTTCCCGAATCGTGCGCAGTTGGGAGTTTTACACATTGTTCTGCGTTTCATACCTTTGTGTAAGAAAAATGACGATTGACTTCGAGAATATCTGATGTAGACTTCCTATTAGAAATTTCATATGAGCAAGAAATTATAACAAACAGAAAAGATTATGACATAAAAGTAATTTCATCAGATAAACTGTTTGTTGAGTTAGAAAAGTAGAGCAGCAATAGAAATGCTATAAAAAGAGTAGTAATATGTTACTATTATCACAAATCATTGATCTTCAAACTATACACACACGTATTTCAAAAGAAAAGTAAGTAAAAGAAAGATGAAATAACAGAATGGTGGTTCTGAGATGTTTAATTGCTTAGTTTAGCACACGCAAAAAATGACAGCCAATCGTATTGATCCCTATTCATTAATAATTCTCGATGTACCAAAAATTTGGTCATTGGACGGAATTTATGACGATTTGATCAATAATTACGGTGATGGAATTGCAGATGTAAAACGAATGTTTAACAAGGATGGTATACCGGTGAAATCAGTTCGAGTAGAATTTCACTCATCGGACCAAGTACAGGACCTCTTAGAAAGTGGACAAATAATTCTTAGTGGACAAACTAAGGATGTAAAAGAATATTTTCTGCCAATGATTTGTTTTGTTTGTGAAGGAATTGGACATCCATCGAGAAATTGTCCAAATGTTGACCCCTGTTCAAAATGTCACAAAAGACACTACATTAACCAGACAACATGTTCACCGATGAGTCAACCAATAAATGAAAATCACAAACCAAATGCAAAAGCCCCAATAAAAGTAAATCGTTCATCGACACCAACATCTACTGCTAGTGAAAACTCAACAATGAACAACGTCGCATCCAGCGTTAATGTTTCCACGCCACTAAATAATATAGAAGCGCTAATAAGAGCTCAAACAGCAAAATATGAACAGATGATAGATGATTTGGAGGTGAGACCGACGACACGAATTTCTCATATTGAAACACAACTGAAAAACTGTGGGAGAATAACCAATCCATAAAACACTATTTTTTACATTTAATTTAATCTAGTCAGATATTGATTTACGTTGATTTTGCATATGCTATGTATGTTCAACAGATTACAATTCACGTTATTAATAAAAATAGGATTATTCTAGGAAAAATTATTTTGTAAACAGAAAAGCCTAGTTGTAGTTAAGAATTAAGAACCGTTAAAACATGTGTACTGTACCGCGAACTTCCATATGTATCCTCAACCATGCGTATTGTTGAGAGTCTGATAAAGGATATCAATTTATCTAGTGAGGCTGAGACACTTCTTAAGAGCTAATCACTAGTTCAGTTCTTTTAAATGGGTACTGCTAACAGTTCTTTTCAAAAGAATGGAACTGATCATCAGTTCCTTCGACTAGTTCTTAGAAACTGTAAGAACTAGAACTATCAACTATTTCTGTCAACTGCATTTTTATCCATTGAAGGAAGGTTAGCAGCTTTCATACTCGCATACTAGTTAGCCGTCATACGAGAAGTAATCATCATTTTTCATGTGATGAGAGATTCCATTCTTTTTGAGAGAGGTGACAATCAGTTTTCGTTTAGAAATACTGCCCTAGTGAAAGTACTCATACTATGAGTACGACTTTATTCATAATTCGTTCATGAGTACTCATATGAGTTCTACTAACAACTTTTAAGTATTTTTACTCAGAGAATATTCATTCACCATTTTGTTTTCCAAAAATGAAACTGTATAAAGAACATATAGTTTGGTGCACAATATTTATATGATATTTTTCTCGCTGGTCTCTCTGTATATAGTCGGAGATGGACTCGTCTGTGAATATACTTTTAGTCCAACTCTGGCTGCATGAGATCACTCTTCTGTATGAAAATACTAGATGAACAATACTCATGAGTATTTTGCCAAAAGTTATATGCATACTCAACAATACTCGAGTACTCAAACTCGTCCGCACAGTACTCATTACTTACTCATGTGAGTACTCAATGATTACTCAAAATGTATGAGTGCATATGAGTACTCGTCCGGTTTTTCCGGCAGAGTACTTTTGAATACTCACGCATGAGTACATTCACTAGGGTGTTTACTACAGTAGTAACCAATTATAGCTCTTTTGAAAAGAATGAATGATCAATCCTTGTTTAACAAAATTGAACTGAAACCGTACGATCCCCAGCATACAGTCGCCTGATGAACGAATGTAATTTGATATTCAGATTTATTTTATGGAGGAAAACGAATTCATGTTAGATGGATTATGTTAGTGAAAAAATTATTTCTCTACGTTTTTTATTAAAAAAACGAGCTCATTTAGGGTTTGAAACTCAACGACGATATTTTAAGCGCAGGACTAACATAAAATTGCTAAATATTGGTAAAAATTGTAGACACTTGGGATGAATTTTACCAGATTATGTTTTTGACAAGAGTAATCAACTTTTCGTTTTTCTCAAATGTATGCCGTTATATCTGTACTACCATCACACAACGTTCCTTTTCTCAACATTAAATATAAAATCAGAACATTAAAAATGAATTTTGAAAATTAAAATACGAAGTCGACTCCAACAGCAAACAAATAAATTTATACTTTTATATAAATTTAATAATTAATTTTTCATATCAAATCAATGGCATATGTCGAGAAGCCCAAATTGGCGAGCAATGAAGCATCTAGGTAGGTAAAAAAGAACGAACAATGTTGGCTGTCGATTAACGAACCATTTTCATACGGTTTTAACGCCGTTTAACTGGGGCCGTTTTACAACCAGAAACAGTCTGTTTTCACTCTTTTTTTCAGACTGTTTTTTACACCGTTAACGAACCAGAGTTGGGCAACTCAACTCCGGAGTTCGAATTTGCTTTTTAAACGACCGGAGTTGAGTTGAAGACTGATGTTATCAACTCCAACTGCGAAAATCTGGTTCAAAATTTCTTCAGCTCCGACTTAACATCAGCTCCAGTGGAGCGTGTTTTTTCACAATCAGGTTTTTGGTTTCGATCACATCCTAGTAGTATGATAAAGAATATACTTTCAAAATTAACATTGTTGAAATATAATTTTGATTTACTATAATGATTTTGGTGTGCATACTATTATAAAAGGAAACATGAACGCTACACATAGTAAAAGTAAAAAACAGGAAGGAAAAAGAACGAATACATTTTAATTTGAAGTTGGAGTTGTGTTGGAAATTATACGTGAGAGACAGCATATTTTCCACTTATTTCGCTTAAGTAAATAAATATATTTTTGACTGTATCATTCATGTGCTCTTCAAATTCGGAGCAAAAACGCTAATACTTCAGCTACCAGCACTAAATATCATATCTGAGTATTGATAGATTTTCACACCATCGTCGCCATCCGTAACTGAAATATTACACGCCGCCACTGACCCAATGATCAACTAACACCTCTGTCTACAAGATCTTATATACATCCCAGGTCCAAGGATTAGATAACAAGATCTTGGAAGATCATATACGATCTTGGGTGATCGTATAATAAGAAATCATGAGATTTTAAAAGATCTTATCAATTCTTATCAATTTTCTATAAGATCTTACAAGATTTCATATGACATCTTGTAGCAAGATTCTTATAAGATTTTACAAGATTTTTCTTATCATAGGAATGTACAAGATCTTGTA